TTGGAATTCTCCAGTTAATTGCCATATTGTTAGATGCAGCAAGCAATTAACAAGGAGCTATATAAAAAAGCTATTTTCACCAATATATACAGATTGCAAAAAATAGTAAATTAAAATAGTGACCTTAAACTAACATATAAAATAACGTAAAAGCAAAATAAAACTTAATCATGGCTACTTTCGCGACAGATCAAATGATTCAGATTAAAATGATCTCTACGCTATAATTATTCAAATTTTAAATTTCATTAGAACTATTATAATGAATTTCAAGTTTTGAGCAATCATAGCCACAGATTATTTTAATGTAATCATTTTTATTCTGTTGCAAAAGCAGTTAAAAATACGAAAAAAAGTTATAAAGAAAATTATAAAACAATAAATAAAATTAAAAGTGAAATTACCAGCAAATTGTGAGAATAATGTAAAGCTCGTTCTTTCCGTAAGCAACGCCAGCGACCTTTTAGAATGCCGAAACATCGCTCTATAGTCACACGAGTCCGGACATGATGATCTGTATACCTTGCGCCTGGAGTTCCTTCTACTTGATTTAATTGTGGCGTCAGTAAAAAAGGTAGAAGAGGATATGCAGAATCACCTAAAATACGTACAATGTTAGTCTTTAACCAACGCTAATATTTTTGTTTGATAGATGCATAATTAAAGAAAATTATAAGTACTATAAGAGAAGTTCACTGAAGCTTGAATATAATTGAATATAATTCTTATTATGGATTTTGTAGGCTTTCCAGCAACGACACAGAGCGACAAGTGTATCGTTCTATCTTTGCTGTTCACTAGTATTGAAGATAATAGAACGATACACTGTGTCGCTCTGTGTCATTGTTGGAAAGCCTACATTATTACAATATAATTATTTACCTATAAGCCAGGAATTTATTTCACCTTCTCTGTGCCTTTGCTCTAAATGAGCAAATACTCTCGATGATCGGAGCACTCGGGCATCGTGTGTTCGGCCACCATGGGCACTATTTACGGCAAGAATTTCGCACTTGGAATCACAAGTCTGAAATTACATTATTTAGTAGTTTATTATTATTATCATTAGTATATATATGTATTATTATTATTAATATTATTATTATTATTTATTTATTGTGATACATATTCTAGCATTACACAGTATATTTATATACTTACAACCAATACATTTAATGAATGATATAACTTTCGATTGATAAATAGGTATTCCCTTTCAATTTCTGGTGGAAAAATAGCAACGTGTGTTCCATCAATTGCTCCAATAACTCCTGGAAAACCGCCATTTCTGAAAAATCTGAAAAATAAATATTAGAATACTAAAATATTTTTATCCTTCATAATCTACTGATTAAAACTTATATTGAATGTTATATAAAATAAATAATAAAATTATAATATAAAAACTGACTAGAAATTTATATTTATTCGATCTGCATTCTACGTACATACATAAATCATATAATTATTAATTATTACCTTTGTTTGATGCTTTGCATTCTGTCAGCGGTTACTGGAAAACAAATCCAATCGTCAATAATACAATTCAATGCATTGACAGTCGCATGAAGGGAACGGCTTAATGACGTTTGAGACATACACGTAAAGAAATCTTGGCCTGTTCTTCTCTGATAGGATCCTGATGCAAAGAAGTTTAATGATGCTAGTATCTAAATAAAATAACAAGAATTGAATCAGAAAGATTAAAAAAATTATTAGGAATTTAATAGCTTTACACAAATAGAAAATTCAAAATACATTGTACCTGTAATTCATGAGATATTGCAGTTTTCCGTGATATTTGTGGCATGAATGCCACCAATTGTGCAATAAGCATACGAGTTGCATCTTTTGTCAGTCTAAAACAGAGCTGTCCACATTTTGCTCTTTTCGGCCGATTTCCGAGATTCACCGCCCAGCGACCCCCACTCGCGCTCGAGGCCTTAGCAACGCGTTGACCGATAGCCGTAACTAAGATGCACGGCGCTCCGTCTCAGGGACGATGCATCTGTAACGCGATGCCGTTCCGTACCCTTTCTTTAACTTTAAATTTAACTAAATATTTTCAATATTTTAAAATCGCGATTTTTTAATTATTATTTTTATTATTAATTATTTATTATATTTTATTTATATATGTTTATTTTTAGATTATATTTATATTTATAATAATTGTGGCAATAGATTTCCACGTCACCCATGAGGTACTATTGTTAACGCGTTTTTTTTTATAGTGGTTTCCCCTGTAGGCCTAGTCCACTTAAAAAGAAGAATTAAGAAATGAGCAAAAACGATAGAAAAATCAAAAATTAAAATTTTGTGCGACTACGCCGTTCGTACGATTCGATAACAGATGGAACATCTATTTCAATATTTGAAGTACTTATTCGCATCAACGAAGATAATGATGCATCCTTCAAACAAGAGCGTCTGTCGGTTTTTATATATTTCATTTTTGAAAAAGAGCATTCACATAAGTAAGTCGAGCCAAACATAGAAAAAAATCGAAGACCGAAATTTCTAAGCCTCGGATAAGTCGCTACGTCTAAAATTTTAAAAACTTCTATTCCTTTTTCCGGTCGCGTTTTAAGGGAAAGTTCAGATTGTAAATCACAAAGTTCCTGTTGCAATTCTATATTTTGCTCTTCGATTTGCGCAGTAAAAGGATTCTCGAGAAGAATAAGATCATTTCTCAACATTTCAAAATCACTAAACCGTGTATTAAATTGACTAATAAGTGAATCGATTAACTGGAGATGCTTCTGAAAATTGCAACTTTTGCCATGCTCTTCGAAAAGAACTTGACAAGATGGGAAAAAATGTAAATTATCTGTCACTATATGATTTTTAAATAATAATAACTGTCTACGGAAAGAATCAATGGCGCTAACTAATTGAGAAATAACTTGATTCGGTCTTTGAAGCTTCAAATTTAAAATATTTAAATGGTTAGTCAAATCAGTAATAAAAGCGAGCTCACTGAGAAATTCTAAATCTTCTAGAAAAAATTTATATTCGTCGCATTTTGCAACAGATATTTCTTGCAAGAAAAGGAAGATTTCTTTTCTTATTGCAAAAAATTTCTCTAAACATTTTCCGGCACTAAGCCAGCGGACCTCGCAATATAAAGGGAGATCGGTATAAGTTGCGTTATGCTCTTCGAGAAAGTGTTGAAACTTGCGATGGGAAAGAAATTTATGACCACCTTTAATAAAATTAACAATTTGCGTTACCGTTTGCATAGCACTACTAAGTTTAACAGTTTTCCCGCATAACGCTTCTTGATGAATAATACAATGAATCATCGGAAATTTTAAATCTCGCTGTCTGATCTGACCGAGGAATCCATTTTTTGAACCTGTCATCGCTTTGGTACCATCTGTTATTATAGACGAACATTTTGTAAAATCTAAATTAAATTTATTGAGAGTTTTTTCTACAGCTCTGAAGATATCTATACCCATAGTTGTATCATGCAAAGCAACAAAGTCTAAAAGCTCCTCGACACATGAGAAATCGTTTTGGACGATTCGAATAAAAATACTCAACTGGCTCACGTGTCGATTATCGGTGCTTTCATCAAGACACAATGAGAAGTACGAACAAGTTGCTAACAAAGATTTTAATCTATCTTCAATAGATAATGCAATATTAGTAATTCTACGTCCTACTGTTTGATGGCTAAGCGGAATACTCGTAACTTCGTCAACTGTCAATTTACCGTCAAAGGATTTTACTGTCTCAACGAGACAGTTTTTTATAAATTCACCATCACTAAACGATTTGGAATGCTTCGCGATGAGGAACGAAATAGCGTATGATGCAGCCAAAGCTTTTGCATTATTGTTACCGGCGTTAGAAATTAATAAATTAGAAGAATTATCTGCCTGATAAACTAATTTTAAACCTTTAAGAATTTTTAATTTTTCCTCAGACGTATAACTAGAATATTGTCCGGAATGTTTGACTCTATAATGTCTTTTGAGATTGTATCTTTTTACGACAGACGGCTCGTAACCACAGAGAACACAAGTTGTTCGATTGCGAACAAAAACGAAGAAAATATCTTCCCATATTCTATCATACCTCTGTTCGTAGTTCTGCTTACTTCCATCAGCCATCCTTCAAATAATCGATGAAATCTTGAAATTCTGAGCACTCTCTCGCAGGAAGACGTTACGCTGAGACACGCTTTGGAGTAAAGAATCGGTTAAGACAAATAAATAACGGTTAAACAATTGCGTATAATCTGGCCGCGCAGACTTTGCGTGGGATCCGTCTTCCTGCGAGAGAGTGCTCAGAATTTCAAGATTTCATCGATTATTTGAAGGATGGCTGATGGAAGTAAGCAGAACTACGAACAGAGGTATGATAGAATATGGGAAGATATTTTCTTCGTTTTTGTTCGCAATCGAACAACTTGTGTTCTCTGTGGTTACGAGCCGTCTGTCGTAAAAAGATACAATCTCAAAAGACATTATAGAGTCAAACATTCCGGACAATATTCTAGTTATACGTCTGAGGAAAAATTAAAAATTCTTGAAGGTTTAAAATTAGTTTATCAGGCAGATAATTCTTCTAATTTATTAATTTCTAACGCCGGTAACAATAATGCAAAAGCTTTGGCTGCATCATACGCTATTTCGTTCCTCATCGCGAAGCATTCCAAATCGTTTAGTGATGGTGAATTTATAAAAAACTGTATCGTTGAGACAGTAAATTCCTTTGACGGTAAATTGACAGTTGACGAAGTTACGAGTATTCCGCTTAGCCATCAAACAGTAGGACGTAGAATTACTAATATTGCATTATCTATTGAAGATAGATTAAAATCTTTGTTAGCAACTTGTTCGTACTTCTCATTGTGTCTTGATGAAAGCACCGATAATCGACACGTGAGCCAGTTGAGTATTTTTATTCGAATCGTCCAAAACGATTTCTCATGTGTCGAGGAGCTTTTAGACTTTGTTGCTTTGCATGATACAACTATGGGTATAGATATCTTCAGAGCTGTAGAAAAAACTCTCAATAAATTTAATTTAGATTTTACAAAATGTTCGTCTATAATAACAGATGGTGCCAAAGCGATGACAGGTTCAAAAAATGGATTCCTCGGTCAGATCAGACAGCGAGATTTAAAATTTCCGATGATTCATTGTATTATTCATCAAGAAGCGTTATGCGGGAAAACTGTTAAACTTAGTAGTGCTATGCAAACGGTAACGCAAATTGTTAATTTTATTAAAGGTGGTCATAAATTTCTTTCCCATCGCAAGTTTCAACACTTTCTCGAAGAGCATAACGCAACTTATACCGATCTCCCTTTATATTGCGAGGTCCGCTGGCTTAGTGCCGGAAAATGTTTAGAGAAATTTTTTGCAATAAGAAAAGAAATCTTCCTTTTCTTGCAAGAAATATCTGTTGCAAAATGCGACGAATATAAATTTTTTCTAGAAGATTTAGAATTTCTCAGTGAGCTCGCTTTTATTACTGATTTGACTAACCATTTAAATATTTTAAATTTGAAGCTTCAAAGACCGAATCAAGTTATTTCTCAATTAGTTAGCGCCATTGATTCTTTCCGTAGACAGTTATTATTATTTAAAAATCATATAGTGACAGATAATTTACATTTTTTCCCATCTTGTCAAGTTCTTTTCGAAGAGCATGGCAAAAGTTGCAATTTTCAGAAGCATCTCCAGTTAATCGATTCACTTATTAGTCAATTTAATACACGGTTTAGTGATTTTGAAATGTTGAGAAATGATCTTATTCTTCTCGAGAATCCTTTTACTGCGCAAATCGAAGAGCAAAATATAGAATTGCAACAGGAACTTTGTGATTTACAATCTGAACTTTCCCTTAAAACGCGACCGGAAAAAGGAATAGAAGTTTTTAAAATTTTAGACGTAGCGACTTATCCGAGGCTTAGAAATTTCGGTCTTCGATTTTTTTCTATGTTTGGCTCGACTTACTTATGTGAATGCTCTTTTTCAAAAATGAAATATATAAAAACCGACAGACGCTCTTGTTTGAAGGATGCATCATTATCTTCGTTGATGCGAATAAGTACTTCAAATATTGAAATAGATGTTCCATCTGTTATCGAATCGTACGAACGGCGTAGTCGCACAAAATTTTAATTTTTGATTTTTCTATCGTTTTTGCTCATTTCTTAATTCTTCTTTTTAAGTGGACTAGGCCTACAGGGGAAACCACTATAAAAAAAAACGCGTTAACAATAGTACCTCATGGGTGACGTGGAAATCTATTGCCACAATTATTATAAATATAAATATAATCTAAAAATAAACATATATAAATAAAATATAATAAATAATTAATAATAAAAATAATAATTAAAAAATCGCGATTTTAAAATATTGAAAATATTTAGTTAAATTTAAAGTTAAAGAAAGGGTACGGAACGGCATCGCGTTACAGATGCATCGTCCCTGAGACGGAGCGCCGTGCATCTTAGTTACGGCTATCGGTCAACGCGTTGCTAAGGCCTCGAGCGCGAGTGGGGGTCGCTGGGCGGTGAATCTCGGAAATCGGCCGAAAAGAGCAAAATGTGGACAGCTCTGGTCTAAAACATAAAAAGCATGTAATCACGCGCTGCAATATAAAGCTTTGTCACTACTAAAGAACTTTAAATATGAAAATTTACCTGTACAGCTTGCGAAATTGGCTATCAGACACTGAAAAAGGATCTAATGTATCTCTGAGTAACATTCGTGTAACCCTCATAATCTGATTGCGTTTCAAAGCCTCTTCATCATCCTCTTCCTCAAGTATTAAAACAGCCATGAATATTTCCATTTTTGTTACTTTTTCGGGCTTTATTATTTGTACGACACTTAACCTTAAATAGAATCTGTGGTCTCCACACGCGTCACGACGCTGTCTATAGTTTCTCTCTCGCTCTGTTTTTCAACTTCTCTCTCTCTCTCTCTCGGATTTCACCATTCGACAAGAAATTTCTTGCCGAACAAACTCCCGTGAGATGGCACGCATTTCCACTAGGATGAAAGTTACTGAATCGCTCGAACTGCTCACTTTTAGTATTTTCATTAAATTTTAGATACAGAATCGACCCCATGATCTTATTTGATTCAAATAAGGCCATCAAGATTTGATTATAAATCTGACTAGTTTTGAAGACATGCTTAAGAAGAGAAAGGCATTATCTTAGAAGACTTTGTGCTTAAGACAGTCTTAAATATAAGAACGGAATATGGAATACCGTCCTTTATTTCAAAAAATGAGAGTTTAAATTTAAAAAGAGTTAGCTAAAATCTTTATTTCGAAAAGTCACAGTTGTTTTCCGACATATTTGCTGACCAAAAATGTCTCCCGAGTAAATCTTACAATAAAATTCTGCGCTATTAACAGAGTGTCCAATAATAATTTAATGGCACTCATTGGTCGTATATATGTATACGTATATATTCACAAATATGTTTCGGCAGTGCAGCGCGTGGCCTTATATCCTCACTCAGCGGAATTCTAACTGCGAGAAAAGACGCCGCGTAGCGGCGAAAGCACGAACGAGTGCACGACTTTACGGACGGTTTTCCGCGAGTGCTTTCGCGCGCAGTCTTGTCTGGCGGTGTAGCATATGTTACAGGCGTTTTACTATCAAAATATAATTGTGGCTTACGGAGATTCTGAACGCCTTTGAGAAGTCTGTTGTTTTTTTCCTGTTTTATCGTCAAAATGTGATGTTAGATAAACTATAAATCTATTTATTGGCTATACGGATTGCTTTTTACCTAAAATTGCTCAGAAACGTATATAGTGCTCGCAAAATTTAAAACTACACTGACTTTTTCTTAAGGGTTTGAACGGCCAATTTCACATTTATTCGAAACATGATATGCTTTTTTATTTTTGTGCTCTCCAATCTTCAGGTTGCAAAAATATAATTTCCTAATAAATTTTTTTATAACATAATTCTATTAATTTCACAATGCAATAATCGGTTTTAACATTTTCACATGAAAAAATATGTATGTAAATATATATTTAGAAATATATGTAAATATTACATATATTTTGAAATATATGTATGTATATTTATATTTTTTTATTTGTTATTGCTTTATAATCATTACTATATTTGCAAAATATAATTTATATATATAATTTATATTATAGAATTATATGTATTTATATTAAATTTTTTTATTTGCTATTATACTTAAGTAATAACTCACTTAATAAAGTAATAACAAATAAAAAAAATGTATAATTTTATTTTATTATTATTCGACACATTTGGATAAAAAATGAGAAATTCTAGAACAAAGGAACATTTTACTTACAGACAAGTGACGCAGTTTACTAAACTTATATTTTATTAACGCTCGTATTTTCATTTCTGTGATAATAATTCTTTCTAATTTGATAATAGATTTGTAATTAGCAGAAAAGTGCGTATATAAGTACAAATATGTTAGAAGAAATTCTGCTCGAAATTTACAGTGCAAATACTCTTCTTTCTTCTGCAAGCAAAGGAAATGTTATTACTTTATCTTCTTTTTTATACTCCACATTTCACATGGTAATTTTTTAAATCAAGAATTTAATATATTCGATAAATTAACAAATATTGTTTGTAAACAAATCAATTATAAATTTCCAAAAAATTAGTGCATGCTTAGTTCAAACTCGAACATATAAAATTACGGAATATTAAAAAAGATATATTGAGATAAATAATTATAATATAATAAGAAAATATATAAATTAAGTAACAAAAAGCAAAAATTATAAATAGTGTAAAGTTTAATAATTTTATAGTTTAATATTTTAATAGTTTAATCATTTATATATATATAAGTTTAATAGTATATAATTAGTATATTATATGTATATATATATATATATATAAAATTAAACAATCATATATAGTAGGCCAACTAAACGAGCAAATAAATAATAATGTAAAAATTTTTTTATTAATAGTTAAATCATAAATTAACATTCCGTTAAAGAATCGAAATAAATGTAAACGTTTCGACTGCACTACAGTCTTTATCAATACATAAAAATTAATATTAAATATAAAGTTAGATGTTAGAAATACAAAGTTATTAATATTAAAATAAAAAATTGAAACGATTCTTCGCTTGTACCAATAGATATGCAAGGCGATTGGTCTGAGATGCCAATTAAAATTTATGGACTCCTATGGTTCCCCACTTTCTCCGATTTGCGATATAGTCATGCAGGACTTGGAAACATTAGTAATTAGTAATTTAAATTGCGAATGACTTCTATTTCCGTTATGTAGACGACATTATTTTATGCACTTCCGCTGACAACATTACATATGTTTTGAACGATTCAACAATTAAAACGATAGACTACAATTTACATTGGAAAAGGAGGATAATCGTTGTATAAGCTTTTTAGACATAATGATCAAAGTAATTTTTACATCTTATTTATTTGCTCGTTTAGTTGGCCTACTATATATGATTGTTTAATTTGTTTAATTATACGAGCCTTCATTAATTAATTTTATATATATATATATATATATATATATATATATATATATATATATATATAAGTAGTCCCCACGGGCGGTCTCGCAGGTCACGAATTTTACCGAAATAAGTCGATCACTTCTCCGTGTCCTAAATCAAAATCTCTAAAAACTCACCTTTAAAAAAGGTAAAAAAAGGCGACCAGTTAAGGGCACGCCATTAACAAAAATTATCCATTGCAAACCCATGTACAATAGAATTGTATGAAAAATTATCGATTATAAACCCATGTACAATCGTAACAAAAGTAATGAAATAAAAAAAAAATTGCGCCAAGTGAAAGTAGAAACTTGTACCAGTGGAAAAAAAAGTTGCAGACATATATAGAGTCGTATAATGAATCAATAAAAATTTAAATTTGCAAATGTAGAATTGTACCATAAAAAAACTTATCTTTTAAAAAAAAGATAAACAAGATGCCAAGCCATGCGCCATGTGAAAAATGTTTAAACAAAAAGTATTTTTAAGTAAAAAAATTTATCATTGACAAAATTTATGTTCTAAAATTAATATCTCTACAAAAAGTAATGTCCAATTATTGCGCGAATAAATAAACATTTTATAAAAAAATTAAAATTTAAAAATTATGCAATTTAAAATTAATATAATAAAAAGAAATAAAAAAATTTTAGTTAAAAAAACTGGGCGCGCTGCTAAATAATATTCTAATGATATTAAAATTAAATTGTTACTTTTAAACTCATTGCAGCGCGCCCAGTTTTTTAACTAAAATTTTTTTTTTTTTTTATTTTTATTAATTTTAAATTTGCATAAGTTTTTAAATTTTAATTTTTTAAAAATGTTTATTTATTCGCGCAATAATTGGACATTACTTTTTGTAGAGATATTAATTTTAGAACATAAATTTTTGTCAATTGATAGATTTTTTTACTTAAAAATACTTTTTTGTTTAACACTTTTTCACATGGCGCATGGACTTGGCATCTTCTTTTTTTTTAAAAGATAAGTTTTTTTATGGTACAATTCTACATTTGCAAATTTAAATTTTTATTGATTCATTATACGACTCTATATATGTCTGCAACTTTTTTTTCCACTGGTACAAGTTTCTACTTTCACTTGGCGCATTTTTTTTTTTATTTTATTACTTTTGTTACGATTGTACATGGGTTTATAATCGATAATTTTTCATACAATTCTATTGTACATGGGTTTGCAATGGATAATTTTTGTTAATGGCGTGCCCTTAACTGGTCGCCTTTTTTTACCTTTTTTTAAAGGTGAGTTTTTAGAGATTATATCATTCATTTTTGTATATGATAAGCATCTTTAAATAAATAAGCAAATTCAATTTTTCTGGCATTTTCTTATTTTAGGTACATATACAGGGTGTCCGGTAACTAACGGACCAACGATTACAAATGGATTCTTTGGTCAATTTGGGAACGATTTTTCCTCAGCGAAAATGTCAAAAAGGTCATCATTTTTTACAACTTTCCAATATTTGTCATTATGTATCTTTATAACTAAGCCTCAAATTAAAATTTTATTATAGTAAACTCTATCTGAAATTAACTGAAGAATGTAATTAAGTTAGACGTTTAACTCCAAACGTTTAGTTTTCAAAAAACCCATTTTTTTCAATCGCTTATAACTCTAAAATTATTGACTTCTCAACATTTTTGCTAAGGAAAAATCGTCTCCAAATTGGCCAGAGAATCCGCCCTTAATCATTGGTCCGTTAGTTACCGGACACCCTGTATATCCATAATTAATATACAAAATTAAATATTATTTATCACACAATTTGTATCAAAATATATATTTTTTAAAATTTATTTTAAATTTATTTAATCATTTTTATCATTGTGATTGTAGTCTTAGTAAGTCTATTTTAATTATGCGATAATTAAGGCAATGTCGAAGTTGAAATTTTTAAGGGAATGTAAGAGATATTGTTTGTTTCCCAACCATTTGCGTAATCTCTGTAATAATAAATTTGTTTTCTACCACTATAAATCAAAAAATAGGATGCGTGGTTTGTTGCATAATATCAAAACTGAAATTCTTAACATAGAGATATTTGATTTATATAGAACTTTAAACTCACTTAATAAAAAACGGTCAAGACAATTCCAAATTCTCCAAACCTTTTACCATCTTATATCTGGCAGGAGATTTTAAATCACCATTGTAACTCCTTTTCTTTGTTCAACCAAAAATTATATCTCATACATAAGAAAAAATTCCTATGGCTACGTAAATCGCATGAAACAGAGTACATTAAAAATATTGATCCTATCGAATTAAAAACAACATCTTCGACAAATATTGTTGATAACACTGTTTCTGCCAACAGTTTTCGTTATGCTACAATAACCCTTTACAACAAACTAACCAGAAATGGTTTATTAATTTAACTGATAAAAAATTCCTCCCAATGTAACCAATCTATTACAATTGGGAGGTGAATTTAGTCTCCCAGTTAACTTAAATAAAAAAGTAGCTATACACGAATTCATCAAAGATATAGAAAGCAATTCTAACGGGATCAGAAATCTCACTTCGATTCGTAATGCTGCCATTCCACAATTTTCATTATTTTTAAACAATAACGACAAAAAACGGACATACAAGAAAAATTATTTCACATGCATAAAGACACAATTAAATTCTGCAATCAAAATCCTAATATTTTATTTACCAGAGCAGATAAAGGCAGCATTACAGTCGCACTAGAAAAAGAATTTTATATAAAAAAAGTTGAGAGTCTCCTAGAAGACGATTCTACGTATACCATAGTTAAAAACAATCCAACAACAAAATAGAAAAAACCTCAATATTTGTTTAAAAAAATGGTTGAAAAAGACTTCATCAACAAAAAGAATATTATTATTTATTTTCAAGCGACTCTCTTCTTC